GAACTATTGCTGCCTATGTACTGTATGCTTGTTTTGTTGCTCTTTCCCTATTCTCTCCCATTCTCTCTCTTTGTTTTATGGGTTGTAAACCGTCAGACAGGAGGTAAAAATAATTTGGGCATTTAAAAATGATCATCATTCTAGATGTAAGCGGTGCCAAGAAAGCAGGGAAGGAGTGGCACTTCCAGCAGATTCTCTGCCTTCTGCCAGGATCCGCAAGGTCCCAGGTCTGCAGCAGAAGACTGCCTGCTCTAGAAGGCTGGGATTGCCCTCTGGAGCAAGCTTTTTATGGCAAAGAGAGCTGCAGCAGGAGGGGGATAAACGTCCCGATTCCACTGGCATGGGATTCACAAGTACACCATTGGATCACGATCATGGGGCCAGACCTTTTCTCGACCAGCCAGCCCCTCTGTAGCTGTTCAAATAAAAGTTTTCCCTCTATCCGGTTGATCAGCAGGGCTTGTTTCCCTGTTAAATGTCTCCGCACGGCACCTTGGCATTGGACACACCCAGATTTTATCAGGAGCTGTGGTTTTTACTATAACAACAAGGCTCACTGTGTTCCATGACCAGGATGCCTGAGATTATTTGTGAAACCTGAAACCTCATACAGTCACTGAGTTTGAATCAGGATGTCCCAAAGGAGCTCAGTTACTTCACTCTTCACAGGGACGAGTTTTGCTCAATAGTTTACCCAAATTAAATATTCCCTCACAACCTTTAGTGTACTTGCAGTGCAGCTTCAAAATCTAGATGTGAAGTCTGAAAATTCTCTGCTTTACTACAGAAGATACTACAGTCTACCTAGTAGTTATATTTCCTAGTTATTGGGCTGATGAGAATCTCGTGATGGCCTTTAAAATCTCCCACACCTTAACTAATCTTTGCTGTGTTTACTCAGAGGTGAGCTGGACCAGTGATATTTGCTTCCAAGTAAATATACATAGGATTTATATTCCCACAGGAACATAATTTTTGCTGTAAATAACGTCACAGGGACTTGTTGGGCATTTTATATCAATGGAATCTACCTGCTTATTGTCTAACATAAAAGTATTTACTTCGAATAAATAACTGGCCCATTCTTAAAAAAAGATATTTTTGTAGCCGACCTGCAGTCTGCCTCCAATAGCTTGGTAGGGCACTTACAGAAGTTGCAATAGTAAAGGTTGTGGTCATTTTCTCACTTCCACCGACATGGACTTTCTTTTACACAAGCTGCTTTAGTTGTTGAAGTCCCAGGCATGAGTAATAACTTCACTTGGAAAAGCAGCCAGGCCAGTTTCCTGCCTTGTGGAGGGAAGGACTGGTTTACGAGGGAGACCAAATGTAGGAGGTTTACCTAATCATCCATGAAGAGCTTAAGTAGTAGAGGAGGTTTTGTCTGTGTTCTTTCACATTACATAGGAAGAAAACAGAAGCTAGTGTTGGAAGATTTTATTTACTAATGATTGGAACCAAGGTGGCCATTGTTTATTTGATTAGTATTGTTCTGCTTGCAAGTTCATTTGTCCATTTCTTGTACATTCCCTGGTGGAACTGAAGATCATTTTAAAACAATAAGTTATCTCAAGGGTCTTGCGTCCCTGTGAATTGTAAGACTCTCTTGTGAAGTCCTCCTTCTAGTCTCCTGGTTGCCAAAGATTTAGGAAGTGGTGTTCAAGAAATAAGCCTCTCTTCCCCCCCCCCCCCGATTTCACTTGGAAAAGCAGCCAGGCCAGTTTCCTGCCTTGTGTACTGCCGGGAACTGGTCTACTCAATGCAACATCCTGACACTGCATCAAGTGTTCCTAACCTACCAGGCACTTTTTTGTTCAGTGTTGAATGGTTTTTATCACTGCTTTGAGTTGGTTAATAATTTTATACTTGGGATTTGAGGTTTTTATTTGCTTATTTCCACTGCTGGGTCTTTTTCATTTCACACTGTTTTATTCTGTACATTTGCCTTGCTTCTGACTGTTTTTTAGTATGTTTTCCATAAGCCGTCTCTAATACTGTCTTTAGAAAGATAAGTGTACATCAAGCAGCGCTGTGCAGCTGTTTCATTTAATACTGGGGCAAGATGCAACGGCTTGCTTCTGACTATGATTGCAGGATGCTGTTGGCTGTTAAGCAGGGTTAGTCCCCACATTGGTGGAGATCCCACGGAACGGCACTCTGCTGCTGGAACACCCTCCCTAGTTCTGTACTGCCGGGAACCGGTCTACTCAGTGCAACATCATGACACCGCATCAAGTGTTCCCAACCTACCAGGCGCTTTTTTGTTCAGTGTTGAATGGTTTTTATCACTGCTGTTTTGAGTTGGTTAATAATTTTCTACTTGGGATTTGAGGTTTTTATTTGCTTATTTCCACTGCTGGGTCTTTTTCATTTCACACTGTTTTATTCTGTACATTTGCCTTGCTTCTGACTGTTTTTTAGTATGTTTTCCATAAGCCATCTCTAATACTGTCTTTAGAAAGATAAGTGTACATCAAGCAGCGCTGTGCAGCTGTTTCATTTAATACTGGGGCAAGATGCAACGGCTTGCTTCTGACTATGATTGCAGGATGCTGTTGGCTGTTAAGCAGGGTTAGTCCCCACATTGGTGGAGATCCCACAGTTCACTTTGAAACTGAAAGAGTGTGGAGAGCTTTTGGTTTTCCTGGTGGCTGTGACGGAACAGAGGTTTCCCTGATAAACCTTAATGGGGAAAATATCTGGCAATGATGATAGAGGCCAGTAGCTGAGAACCTGTTACAAATCTAAAATAGAACCTCCTTCTCCCAAGAACTTTTCCCCAGAAAGGTCAATATAAGGGAGTTATCCTCTTGGAGATGAAGGTTGCGTAGGTGTGTACCGATTCTGCTTTAGACGCAAGGGATTTGTGTTTCCCTAGACATGCACAGGATTGCACTGTAAGTATGGCTTCAGGGTGTTGAGACACTTCCCCGTATGTCAAACACAGGAAACCAGGCGGTGCCTTTCAGCCAGAGGTCTCTGCCGTAAATATGGGCCAAGGGAAATGGACAGGGGTGTGCCTAAAAGCAAGCAGCACAATGTTTTAAGTTTCCAGAGGACCAAGAAGAGGGTTGAAGTGAAAACCAACCCCTTTGTTCTTTATTCTCTGCTGGACTTCAATTCATCACAACCTGTTCTCTCTTTTAAGTGGGTGTTTGCTCAAATAGAAACAGTTGTAGGAACTAAAATTATGTCCAGGCAAATGGAAGTTAGTGATCAGTTGTTTGCCTCATCGTCCCTTCCTCCTCATTCAAATGTCGTCACCTCTCTGATATTCTTGTTTAGGTACATTTTTGTCATCTGCTGTGGGTAGGATCTTTTCCAATATACTGCATTGTAGAAAGTGCAGGGGATGAGGAACAGATAAATACGTGAATAGGAATACTGAGTCCTTATTTTCTCCTTTTGTACATTTCCCCCTCAGTTCTGTGATCATCCACTTTGACTGGCTTGTTTTTGGATTTTCCTCCTCCTGCCTTGGGTTGTCTGTTGCAGGTCCAAAGCCACGGTGCATACTCTTAATAGCTTTAATGCTCAACACGATGCTATAGATGGAGGGCTGAACCAAGGAGCCTTGGGTTCAAATCAGCTCAGTCATGGCACTCATTGATGTTGGGCCAGGGTCACATTCTCCCACCCAAATCTACATGGCTCATTTTCTGTAGAGTGCTACATTCCTATAAGATGTTTCACTGCTACCACACAAGCTGCTTGTGGAACATTTGCCTGGGAAACAAGCGACAGAAAGACTGCATGGGGGAAAAACCTACATAAATTGATGTAGGCATTCTGCAAGCATATGGCCTTTCTTCCAAGCATTACTGCTGAGTAGGCAGAAGAGCCAGTTGATAAAATGGGCTCCAGAGGGGCCAGCCCTGGAGAGGGAGGTGGAATGATGATAAGGTTGGTTATTCAAATATTTGGGAGAATGTGGCATTCAAGGATGTAAGCTTTCCAAAAGTTGACCCTTTTTTGGACAGTAGTACTCAGAATTCCCTAGCCAGCGTGGTTCGGGCTAGCTGGAGGATTCTGGGATGTGGGATCTGAAAAGTAATTTTTCCAAGCTTGTTTTTTTCCTCTTACTGATGTGCTGAGCCTCTCTTCAAGCAGAGATACAGAGGAGAACTTGTCAGAGGCAAAGCTTCCCTTAAAGGCAGTCAGTGTTATTCCAAAAACATTATCATAATTCTCTTCCAGCGGTTCTTTGTTTCTTTTGCAAGGCATAGCAGTGATGATCAGAGCCTGCCTTTCTGTCTTTAAACTGTGTCATGCTTAGAGAAAGGAATTTATCCCATCCTGCTGAGAAAATGCTAACTTGAAATGACGCAACCAGGTTGTGCTGGTGCAGAGGTGTCTGTGTCAGAGTCCTTGGATGAATTGGTTTCTCCTTCTCCCCCTCAGGTGGCATGCAGGATTATAACTACATTTGGGCCAACTGCTTTGAGGTCACCTTTGAGCTTTCCTGCTGCAAATACCCACCAGCTTCACAGCTTGAGCAGGAATGGGAAAATAACCGGGAATCTCTCCTCACCTTCATCGAAAAAGTAAGGGCTTTTTGAAAACCCTTTTCTAGTGTGACATTGAATCATCTGGGTACCTGTGCGTCACTTGGGTCTTGGTGTTTTGTGCCTTTCCTGTACCTCTTGCTGGTTCCTCTTGTTTGTCAGAACATAAGCCGCTGCCTGTGCTCTTCTGGCTGAGATGCTGGATAAGAAAAAGAGGTTTACCTGTTTGATTTTGCTTTTATTTCTAACCGGGGGGGGGGGGGGAGCTGTCCCTGAAAGGTGAAAATGACATAAACCAGAAACACCGGTCAGGCTAAAGTCGCTTGTATGCAAGATGACCTTCAGCAGAAATCTTTTTCCTCCTTCCATGTCACAACCACAGCATTGTTCCAGAAATTGTTGGTTCTGACTCCTATTCCTGACTGTAGCAATCGCTGCAGGTGTTATTTAAAAAATAATATTTTTTTGCATCAACCCTGTGTGTTCTTTTGGAAACAGATGGCTCCAGTTGAGAGAGAACTACAGTAATCTAAAAAGCCAAAGCCCCATCAGCCTCAATTTTGTCTCTGTTTTGAAAGAGGCTTTTCAGAACAGGAACCGCAGTGGGCAGAAGGCAGCCTAATTACTCCTGTAAGGATCTCTAGATGTCTCAGCTTACAGTTGTTCTTAACAAGCATGTTTTTTTTAAAAAAGTGCAAAGCTATCTTCTGCTAATCCTTTGTAGGCTTCTTCCATTGCACCTGTCCTCTTGCAGTGTTGAATGGCAGCCTCTGTTGTAGCTGGTGAACTGGGAGCAGGTTCTTACCTTTCAGACACATTCAGATGTTGGAGCAGAGGCTTTTCTTGTCTCTTCTGCTGTGAACATTCTATAAAGTGGGTAGTAAAATGTTTGATTCGGAAATGCAGAGATAACCCACTGAGTCACACACTCAGACAGGCCAGCTTCAGATTCTGCCAGCCCATTGCAGATCCTGCTACATGAAGTACTTTTTAGATCCTATTAATTATGTACTTATTATATTGATATCAATCACTCTCTTCAAACAGGGCTCAAGGTGACTCACAAGAAGGTTTTAAAACAAGTAGAGATCAAAATGCAAGAAGTTCCAATGTCAACAGGACAAAGCAAATTGTGACATTAAAATGCTGGGGAATTTAATAGCGTTTTTTTCTTTTCTTTTTAAAGGCTACTCTGTTGAAAGTTCCTTTTTCAGCAACTGGACATTTACCCAAACTCTGCCTCATGCTCAGGATCTTTACCCACTGACCTTGTTATCCGTTAGGGTGTGCTCTGTGTGGCCCTGCCAGATCTTGGTTCCCTTTGATTTTTGCACACAAAGACATTAATCTCCAAGCTTCAATACCACTCCGTCTCTGTCCTTCTTGGCAGTGGGTGTTACAGAGAACTCTGACCATGAAATTATAAGTCAGTGGAGAGGAAAACAACCAGAGTCACGGCAGGGAACCTAAGAATAAAGTTGCACACTAAAGACACATCCAGTTTTCTGACCTGTTTCCCGTTCCCATCTGGTGTAGGTCCACCTGGGAATCCAAGGGTTCGTGAGGGATTCAATCACTGGGGCCGGCTTGGAAAATGCAACCATTGCTGTGGCTGGAATCGCTCACAACATCACAACCGGCCGGTTTGGGGACTACCATAGGCTGCTGGTGCCCGGGACCTACAACGTCACAGTGGCTGCCTTGGGGTAAAGTCTCGATGTGTCCTCTATGTGAGCTCCTGGCCAGGCGCCTTCTGGTCACCAGTAGGAACCCTAGACACTGTTCTTGTTATCCAGTCCCCTTTTTGCTCTGTGCTGCCTAGGATGTGGCGCGTGCTCGCGTCTCTTAGGCAAACGAAAGCGAGAGAGTAGCAAGAAAGGAGGTCCACCTGCCTGGTTCTATGGGCCCCACATCCTGTTTCTACCCTTAGTGCTTCGTTTTAATGGAAACCCTGGGGAAGTGTTTGAAGTGGCCATTCTACTGATGTGATGGAAAGCCGTTGCAGCTAACAAAACAATTGGCCGTTAATTGAGATAACCTGTTTCAGTGTCTCCTGGTTGGCCCAAACAGTCAACTGGGTGACCTCTGGCCAAGCTGTTGTCTTTCTGCTTCTGTGCCCTGTTTGTGAAATGGGGATTGTGGGGAAGACGAAGGACAGGGGACCACTTTGCTTACTCTAAATAGTTTATACATTTGTGACTCAACAGTGCCAGCCTGTCGGCTTGTTAGGACGTCCGGGGGGGGGGCTTTCCCTGCACTTCTTGTTATTTGTACCCTCTGAGAAAAGGTTTTAGGCCGATGTCACTGGTAGACCACTAGATCAGGCCAAGCTGAGAGCATTTCAAGAGGGAATGCAAATGGCTGCACCTTTTTCTCTTCCCCCTCCCCAGATACCTGCCAGTCACCCAAGAGAACATTGAAGTAAAGGAGGGGGACGCAACCGCCGTCAACTTCTCCTTGCGGCCTACCGTAGCAGCACCGGCCTCTGACCCTACCCAGACGGCGCCTGTGGTGGCCACAGACCCTGTGGCCAACGCGACCAACGTCACCAACACAGACCAGCCGACCTTTGCCCACCCGTCAATCCAGCCGGAGGATTTTCGCCATCACCACTTCCCTGACATGGGGATCTTCCTGAGGAAATACGCCTCCGAGTATCCAAACATTGCTCGTCTCTACTCGGTGGGCAAGTCGGTGGAACAAAGGGAGCTGTACGCCATGGAGATATCCGATAACCCCGGCGTCCATGAAGCAGGTAATGTGATCGGCCCCTGGCTGGACACTTGATTCCATGCTTGTGCGGCAAGGGAGAGAAAACGCCTGGGTCTTCGACCAGGGGTGAGTGAGGGACAGGCACCCTGGCACCCTGCTGAAGTGTCAGACTGCAAACCCTATAACACCTGGTTGTAGTCTGTGGCAACTGGGACATGATAGCAGTTTGGGAGGCCTCAGGTTGCCTACTACAGGGCAGTGTAACTGGGTTGGACCGCTGGTGTCTTACTTCTGTGGGTGCTCCTATCCAGGCACCATCCCAAAACATTTAGCTACTCTCTTCCGTTGAGTTCAGTAAATGTGGGGAAGTGATCTTGCAGGGATGGTTCAACCGTATTCGGCTTTCAACGCTGCTGTCATCATCACTCCTTGTGTCTTTCTTTAATGTCAGGCATTAAGCAGGTCAGGAAAGGATGCTCCACGCATTTCCTTTGGTACCCTTAGGCATGAACAGTTCCACTGAACTCTTGACACAGGAATGTCTTTGCTGTGGGACCAGCGAAGGCTTTTCCTGTTAGTTATTTCTCCTTGTGCGTACCTGTTGGTGCTGAGGTATTTCTTAAATATGCAAGGCCTGATGTTTTCTGTCTGTTCCCATTCTGTTCCCTCTCGCTGTGAGACCCTTCCTCACTCCTGAAATGACATGGGTCAGCTGAAGGCTTCTTTGGGTTTTGTTCCCCATCTAGGAGAAGCGGAGTTCAAGTATATCGGCAATATGCACGGCAATGAAGTGGTCGGGAGAGAGCTGCTCCTTAATCTCATAGAATATCTCTGCAGGAACTACGGGACGGATCCTGAAGTCACAGACTTGGTCGAAAATACTCGGATCCACATCATGCCATCCATGAATCCAGATGGCTACGAAAAAGCCCAAGAAGGTAGCCCTGTTCGCAAGCTTCTGTCCTTACCACTTTTGGGAGTCAGGTGCTGTACGAAGGCAGAGGCTTCGTAGCGGATTCGGGTTTTCTTGTATTTGTGACCAATCTCTGCCTGCAGACAGTGTGACGAGACCGCTCTCTTTTTGGTTTTCGTGTGAATTGGGATTTTCCCCTGTTTATCTCTTTGTTGGCTCCTGCCTCCCCACACGTACCCGAATGTTTTTCTCACTTTATCTATGTTGTGAGAATTGAAGTTTCTTTTGAGGATGCAGTGTAAAGTGGGCAGGCTTTGGCGCGATGAGGTCTGGTTGTTTAATACAGCAGTTCCCCAACCTTTTTGGGACTGCGGACAAGCTGAGCCTCTGAGCAAGGTGGGGCACCCCCCTGCGCTCCCGCGGGTGCTCTTGGATGCATGCACGAAACGGTGGGGGGGCGTACACCCGCCAGCACCGGCGTGAGTGCTCCCCCACCCCTTTGTGCATGCACAGAAGCACCCGCACGTGCGCCCACCCCTTAGCACCAGTGCATGTGTAAAAGGGTGGGGGAGTGCTCAGGCTGGTGCTGTGCACAAAGCAGCTGTGAGGAGGGGAGTGTGTGCGGGGGGGGGGGGTCAGGAGGTCTGTCTCTGTGCGGCGGGTCCAGCTCAGGCCACAGACTGGGATCGGGCTGCGGAGCTGGGGTTGACGACCTCTGGTTTAATAAACAGAAGCAAAGCTGTTGCCAGAATACATACCTAACACCAGGCATTTCATGTAGAATAACGACATAACTTCAATACCAGAGGGTATTGGAGTACAGGAAGATTTAGTTTTGAGTGACATCTTTCCAAAGTCTGTGCTGGAGACACATAAAAGCACAGGTGGCACAACGTATGCCATTATCCTGTTCCCTGGGGGTAAGGAACAGCTCCTGAGCTAAGCTGCTTCCTAGAGAATGGCCTGGGAGGTTCACGGCCAGGCACCTTGTTTGACAAGGTAAGGCTGTGTGTTTGAACAACAGCCTCTTCATTTATTTGGCTGCACCTTGAATCTTTCCTCATGAAAAGTTCATTCATCCAGATTGATCTGTGGGGTAAGATTTATGGCTTGTTCCCAAGACACATCCGTCGGCTCTTCCTCGGCAATGACACGCTGTGGGCAGTGCGGCATGAGTAATATCGGGCTGGTTCTATGAAAAGAACAGCCTTGTACAGGATCTGCAAAGCCTCTTACTTGGCACCTGCCAAGTTCCCTTTAAATGTAATTCATTCTTTTATTCATTATCATTTAGCCATAACCCGTTGTCGTCCCTTGTTTACAGCACTGGGAAACATAATTAATTGCAGGATTGATCGCGTGACTTGTTTTTCTGTTCCTGTGCTCCTGCATGTTGACCTTTGACACGTAACTTCATTGCCCTGGTGCGAGTAGCAGTTTGCCCTCCTCTGCTGGTGGCCACTGGGTCTTTTTGGTAGAGATTGCAGAGCCAGCCGGGCCAGCTGTGTGTTTCCCCACTTAAACCGGACACATGTCTGTGCTGGCCATCTGTGTCCCCCCTCCCCCCCCCGAGCAGAAGATCAACAGTTGGTGTCCCTTTCCTCAGGAGACGTCGCGGGGACCATTGGCAGAAACAACAGCAACAACTATGACCTGAACCGCAACTTCCCTGACCAGTTTGTCAACGTCACAGACCCTCTGCAGCCAGAGACCATCGCAGTCATGGGCTGGCTGAAGTCCTACCCCTTTGTGCTGTCGGCGAACCTGCACGGAGGTAAGAGGAAGGTGGAGAACAGTTGGCAGAATATCACTGGGATCCTTCCTCTGACCTAAAGAGAACTGGGCTCAGTCGGTGGCTGCAGCATCACCTTGCAAATAGATTCCAAACACTGTCCTTTCCAGACTTGTAGGCTCATTGCAAGAAAGCTCAGCAACACGCTGGAAAAAGGACCCTAAAGGGCAGGGGGAATGCACAGTGGCAACATACCTCTCCCAACTTGCTGGCTTTTTCCCCCCGCTGTGTGTCTGTGTCTTTTAGTTCTTCACAATGGCAACATACCTCTCCTAACTTGCTGGCTTTTCTTCCCGCTGTGTGTCTGTGTCTTTTAGTTCTTACAAATCCACTATAAAGGGAAACTTCGTGGAAGGTTGAGTAAAGCGTGTTGCAAATCCTTCTGGTGTGGTTATGTTGCAAGCAGTTGCTTTCTCACATCATTCCCAAAGCAACCTCACTGTAGCGTGAGTGGGAGACCTCTTTCGGAGCCGGCTTTTCACCAGTGGAAATCAGTCTAGGCTAATGCCCAAGGACAGCCCTCGCCCACATGGTGGGGTTAGAAAAGAGCTTTTAGGGTCAGTAGCTGTTCTCCAAGGTCAGGTCTTCCTTTCCTGAGTGCTGAAGACTCGCCTGTTTCTTTGGCTGTGTTTTCTCCAGGTGCCTCCTGCCTTTCCAGGCAGGTTAGGCTCAGGTACCGGCTTGCTGAATCCTGGCCCTGGTGCCTTGCAGTCGTGTGGCCTGAGGGTGGCTCAGCATTCATGGTTGTCTGTACTTCTGCCGAGCTTAGTCTTGCGGCTTGTCCTTGAGCTCAGGAGAATCGCAGGCGCATTCTAATCCAGGGCGTTAGCCACGTGGCTGCTTCCTAGGCTGAAATTGGTTCCCCTGCAGGGACATAACCTTGACATGTGGGTTTTTCCCTTCCTCCACCTGGGTAGGCTCTTTGGTGGTGAACTACCCCTACGATGATGACCAACAAGGAATTGCCACATACAGCAGGTCCCCTGACGATGCTGTCTTTCAGCAGATCGCCCTGTCCTATGCCAAGGTGAGCGCCTCCCGAAGGCTCTGGGAAGGGGTGGTGGGTCAGATTTTTGGAAGGCAGAGATGTTCTCTTTGGTGCTGCAGTTGTTCTGGGCTGTGACCCCCACTGGCCTCTTCCAGCAGAGCCCCTGGTAAGGTATTGTGAGTGTGAGAGAGAGTTCAAAACACCTGGAGGGCCTTAAGTTTCCTATGGCAGTTGTCAGGAGATGTGACTCTGGGGAGGAGGGCGCGTGTGGTTGTGTGTCTTCCTTGGGCTGGAGGAGACGTCCAGGCCTCATGGGTCGCGGTCCTTTGTTCTTCCAGGAGAATGCGCAGATGTCCCAGGGCCACCCGTGCAAAGACCTGGTTCCCGAGGAGTATTTCCCCCACGGCATCACGAATGGAGCTCACTGGTACAATGTTCCAGGTAATGCCTCAGAGCCCGAGGGTCTTGTTCTGGATCCTGCACAAGCCATCCCACCTCTCGTTGGCCTTGAGTGGAAATAACAGGTGGCCCGGGGGGGGGTTGGGGGTGGCGGCTTTGCATACCAGCGCCAGGGGGGAGGTTCCCCCTTCGAATTGACCCGTTTTCAGCCCTGGCACTTTGATCATGTGCTTCGCTTGAGAAGTGCTGATGGCAGCCTGTGAAGTATCAAGACAGCTAATCTGCTCCCTCTGTCTCACACCCAGGGTACGTGTTTTTGACGGCAGGATGATTAGCCACTGCCTTCCCTTCCTTGTATTTTCCTAGTCCCGTTCACTCTTCTCTCATGTTATGAATTTGATGTCCTTCATGAAAATGAGACAAAACTTCACTCCTTCAAACAAAACCCCGATACATAAAGATCACCCCCTCCCCGCGTGTTTTTCTAAAATCTAACCGGTTGGTCCTTTATACCTCACTCTGGTCTGCTCCGTGGCACCATCTTTTAGTTTGTTCCAGGAACGCAGCGTGTCCCCCTGCAGTCAGCATCCCACACCCTTGGGGCTTAGTTGTCGGTTTGCCTTCTCCTGCGTTTTTGCCTGCTCCTGATGGCTCTTCGGGTCCTCTGGTTTCAGGCGGCATGCAGGACTGGAATTACGTGAACACCAATTGCTTTGAGGTGACCATCGAGCTGGGCTGCGTCAAGTATCCAAAGGCCGACGAGCTGCCCAAGTACTGGGAGCAGAACCGCCGGTCCCTGCTGCAGTTCCTCAAGCAGGTGAGCGGGCCTTCTGCCCTCCCAGAGGGAAGACGTGCAAACCGGGGGAGCCATAGCCAGCATTATGACCTCTAGAACATTCTTTCTAACAGTGGGCAACCCTCCGATGTTGGGGACAGTGTGGGAAAAGAGTGATCCTGTCATCTGCTCCCTCCCCCTTTCTTCCTCCCCCTCCTTCCCTCCCTCCTTCCCTGCTTAGGTTCACCGAGGTGTGAAGGGGTTTGTGTTGGATGCCACCGATGGACGGGGCATCTTTAATGCCACGATCAGTGTCGCCAGCATCGATCACCCAGTCACCACCTATAAGAGCGGAGACTACTGGCGCCTGTTGACCCCGGGGACGTACAAAATCACAGCCTCTGCCCGAGGGTGAGTTTCAACAGCCCTGCATTTCCCACTTAGAAACTGTAAAGGGAAGGTCGTGTTTCATTTGGCCAGGGCTCCTTTTCCAAAGGCGCAGGGTCGTGGACAAGTTGAACCGATACATTCAGAGATCGGCGTCACAGACCTATGTGGAAAACCGTAGGATTGCCCCACAAACCCCTCAGATTTCATCGGTGAGTGGGGCTTTGGGCATCTGCATCCTGTCCGCTTGCAGTGTAATAGTCAGGCGACCTTGGGCTCCTGGCAGCAGGACGAGGTTTCTCTGCAAGGTTCAGCAGGAAGGTTATCTCCCATCTAGAGACAAAATGAATGGGCTTTTCATATTGGCTTTTGTGAGCCGTGATGAAGACTCCGCTGGCTCAAGAAAGCCTAATGGAAATATTAATGCTTTAATAAAAAATTTATATCCTGACTCAGGTTTTTAATCACAGTCCTAGACTGGCCTTGTGATAATGATCTCTTTTTTATTAGACGTGTCAAGGCAGTGTGCTAGCTCTGTGCATGGCAGCATTTGCCAGAGACAGGACCTACTCTTTCTAGAGCCTGAAACATTTCAGTTTTTCGACAGTAACATCTCAAAGCGCATATGGCCTGGGATGTTTGGGGAGCTTGTGGCCAGTAAAGGATCTTTCCCACTCTATCCCACTCTATCCCTTTTTCACCCCTCCCAGGATATTGTCACAAACATACCAGAACATTGTGTTTTACTTCCTCTCCAGTTCTCATGTTTTTCTCCCCCTCCCCTCGTGTTTTGGAAGGTATGATTCAGAAACAAAGACAGTGAAGGTAGGAGATAAGAGCGCCGTGCAGGTGAACTTCACTTTAACGCAAAAGGACTCTAAAGTGGAGGAGGGGAAGGCCCCAGATGTCAACATGGCCGAGACTGATGGCACCGTCACCAAGGAATTTGAAACTTTGATCAAAAACCTCTCGGCCGAGAACGGCTTGGAACACTTCCTGCTCTCTTCCTCAGCCGATGTCCAGCCTTCCCGTTACCGCCTCTACGATGATCGGTCCATGTTCCTGAGAGGCCTAAACTTGAATTATCCACAGATCACCAATCTCACGAGGTAGGCTGGGGTACTGTTTCGGCTGTTCTAGAGAGGAAAGATGGCAGTCAGCCATGTCTGTAGCCCCCCACGAGGCATGAGAGAAAGCTGGATCCGAAATAGCCTGGTTTGGGCGGGTGGAGTAATGGGTTCTCCCTGCTGGAAGAAAACAGAGCCACTGTTACGAGCATCACGTCGCACGCAGGACACCTTCCAAATGTCTGTGGGTCGAAACCTGCTCCGGGGCCCCTGCTGATTGTCCTGAGAGTTCTTGTGAGAATATCTGGTAATAAGTGGCTGCACAGACACAGCAAAGCCCTACAGTTGTCCCCTGAGGACCTTATAGCATAAATGGGGGATCTTACAGGTCACACCAGTCTCCAGTGAGTGAGAAAACAAGGGGAAATTTCTCTATGCATTCTGGTAAGCATTTTTGCCTCCTTTGGTGAGAGATGGGTTATCTTCCCATCCCATCGCCTCAGAATGACCAGGAGCCCTATGTTTCCAGTTCCCACGGGCACGCAAAGGGTAAGGTGGCTACTTAGATTAAAAAGCCACCCAAAAGCACCTCAGACCTCTTCCTGTTTGGCTTTTTTCTAGCTTGGGCCAGAGTCGTGAGTTTCGTTACATCTCGTCCCTGGAGATCTCGAATAAACCCAACCAATCTGAGCCGGAGGAGCCTAAGATCCGTTTCGTCGCTGGCATCCACGGCAATGCCCCCGTTGGCACCGAACTCCTCTTGGCCCTGGCCGAGTTCCTCTGCATGAACTACAAGAAGAACCCGGCCATCACCAAGGTGGGTAGTGGGTGGGCGGCCTCAGCCGGCATTGGGGGCCGTCGCTTGACTTGGAGACGGCCGCGTCGAGCCTCCAATTCGGAGAAATTCCTTTGGGGAGTTCTGCTCCCAGTCTCCACGAGCATCGGCTTGCCAGGAAGGAAACCCTAGGAAGAAGCGGAAGGGCCTGCTGGTTGTAAAGGCTGCCGAGCCCTCCTCGTCAGTTGACGCTACCGGGAAGGAAAGGGGAAAAGAATGGGAACGCACTGGGCCTGAGAGGATGACCGCACAAGATCTCAGCAGGGGGATAAAGGGGGGGGGGAGAGAGATCAATTGAATAAAGTGGTCCTGGCAGGATTCCAGTGAACAGTGGTTGCATCAGTGGTGACAGGCTGGTGCATGAGGGGTCCTTCGATCTGGCGAGAGAGAGCCCTGGCTTCCTTTGCAGCCCTGAACGCTCTGATACCATGGTGAGGTCAACCATGGATTGGGTGGGTGGGTTGGACACTCTTCCTTCATCAGAGGAAGGTACACTTGTGTGGGTCATGCCCTCTCTCTTGCCCCGGGCGGCCCCTGATGCGCCCTCTGTGTGTGTGTGTGTGTTGGGGGGGAAGAGTTTGCCTTCTCCCAAGGAACTAGACTGAGGCAGATCTCTGGCAGCTTCTCTACCCTCTTGGCTGATGCAGGTTGGGATGTTCCTCTCAAATGTTGTGTGTGCCCATCTGTGTTTCTGTCTGTTTCCAGCTGATTGACAACACAAGAATTGTGATTGTGCCATCCCTAAATCCGGATGGACGTGAGATTGCCCGGGAGGGAGACTGCACTTCCAGGATTGGTTTCACCAACGCGAATGGCAAAGATCTGGACGCGGATTTCACAAGTAAAGCAGACCTCATTTCCCCCCCCACCCCTCCCGCGTCTCACCTAGGGGCCCTAAAAAAAGGAGGGGGGGAGCAGGGGCCTTTTAGGCGAAGCAGCTTAGATGTCAGTAGACAGAAGGGTTAGGGTTGCACGTTAGCACCCTGTGTGGCATCTTCTGTTGCTGCAGGCGCTCATTATCGGCCGGGTGCCTCACATCCCCTTGAGAGAGACTTCTTTACCTCTAGGCAATACCTCTGCAGCCAAAGAGCCGGAAACCAAAGCCATCATGGAGAACCTGATCCAGAAGGGAGACTTCAGCCTCTCCGTTGCCTTGGACGCAGGGTCCCTGCTAGTTACTTACCCCTATGACAAACCCGTGCAGACAGGTATGGGGAAACAGCTGATGGAATCGGCTCTCCTTTGAGTGGCACCTCTTTGACGCTGACTCTTAGGCCAGGGTGGGCGGCTGTTTGGAATGAGAGGGCCAGAGTGGCCAGCTTTTCGTTGCTGCAGAAACCTGGATCGCTGGGCAGTGTCCGGTACACGTTGAACCCTCACCTGAGGCCTTTGCTTCCTTCCTTCCTTTCAGTGGAGTATAAAGAAACCTTGAGGCACCTGGCGTCCGTCTATGCCAACAACCACCCCACGATGCAGCTGGGGCAGCCTGGCTGTCCGAACAAGTCAGGTACGTGCCTGCAGCGATGACTTGGCCCCACAGGCAGGTTTGGGCAGGCTCCTCCTCGCAAAGCACTCCTGACTTCTATCCCTTTTGCAGATGAGAACATCCCCGGAGGCATTTTGCTGGGGGCCGAGTGGCACAGCCATCTGGGCAGCATGAAGGTATTCTGTCCGCTCTCGGTCGGTCGGTCGGGTGTTGTTATTGTTTGCGGAACGACCCCACAGGTGCCGCTGAGCTCTCTCTTGCTTAAAGGAAAGGAGAGCTTTTCCCCCTCAAGGGCCTCTCACTCTTCTTCTGTTTTTCCTCCTCTGGCTTCTCAGGATTTCAGTGTGACCTACGGGCATTGCCCAGAGATCACCGTGTACACGGGGTGTTGTTACTTCCCAAGCGCCGGGCAGCTCCACGCTCTGTGGTCGGAGAATAAGAAGTCGCTTCTCAGCATGCTCGTCGAGGTGAGTTTTGGTGAACTCCAGGCAGACCTGAAGGTATCCAGGCTTCTCTTGGCCGCTGGTCTGCCAGCTGAACAGGGAGTAAGTAGATCCATTTCAAGAACTGGTCTTTACGCCAATTCAAGCGTCCTGCTGATGGACTCTGGTCGAGCTCGAATTTGGGGAAGCTGTCACGGAAATTCCTCTTAGTCCTGAGATCACTGGCATGACGTTCGTTCAGCCGGATGTACTGTAGCTCTCAGGTTTTCCATGGGTGTGTGTGTCATGTTTCATTACAGCAAGATTGTAACCAGCCTTGAGTTTTTTTGATGGAAAAAGAGTGTCCTTAAAAAAAGAGAGAGAGAGAATCCACAGAAAGAAGCCTTTTGAGTCTCTTTAGTGCTTGTGCGCCTGTTATTCTGGAAAGAATCATTTGCAACATGAACACGAGAGGTAGGTGAATACAGAAAATTTCGTCTTTGTGAACACTGTTTACTAGATGGTGTGGTTTTTTTTCTCCCTCCTCCAGGTTCACAAGGGAGTCCATGGCTTTGTCCAAGACAAGCACGGCCACCCCGTGTCAAAAGCCCAAATCATCCTCAACGAAGGCGTGAAAGTCTTCACCAAGGAAGGCGGCTACTTCCATGTGCTCTTGGCCCCTGGCTACCACAAGATCCACGCTCTTGCTGACGGCTACCAACAGGAGCATGTCCAGGTACCACAGCGGCCTGCCCTGAACTCTCTTTCCATCGGGAAGAATGGGGGGGTCACAGGTGGGCTTAGGCATGAAGGAAATGCCATGAGGCCATCTTACAGCCCCCCCCCTTTCAATGGCCTGTCCTTCACACTGGCTGGCTGATGAGGCCTGCATAAAATGAAATGAAGGACGGTTGTTGGTAGGGAACCACCCGAAGTTGGGCGGGTGAGATGCTTGAACATGCATTGGCCCAGCATCCGCCACTCCTGGCTAGCCCAGTTCTGGGGGTTGTAGTCCAGGAAAGGCACCCGAGCCCAAAGGATTTTAACAGGTTAGGCCTCTTTCTCTGCCCTGCCACCTTCATCCTTACCCTGGGTTTTTTTCTTTCTCCTTCCCTCAGCTGGAGTTCAGGACTGCCGCACCCTTCTTAGAAGGACCTGAGCAGCTGCAGACCACCTGGGTGGGCGGGCGGGTGCGTGCACGTGTATGTCTGGTCTTTCCCCCACCCCCGACCTGTCCTCCGGACACCCACTCACTGGTTGCTCCTTTCCAGGTCTTGGTTCGCCACGACATGGCTACCTTCCTGCGCATACAGTTCGACATAGACAACAAAATCTTTGGGCTGCCCAGGGAGTTGGTGGTCACAGTAGCAGGTAAGAGGACCGGGGATGATTTTCCCTTGGGGTTAGTGGCGGAAGCAGGGAGCCTGGTGAGAATGGCTTTCTAAGAGGGGACAGACACTTTCCTGGTGTGTAACGCGTGCACAGTAAAGTCAGGATTTGTGCAGTAGAGCACCAAGTCTCCCCAAGGTCTGTCTTGAATCTTTGAGGAGCAATGCAACTGGATGGGATGCGGGAGTAGAAGCAAACCAGCAGGACAAGGAGGGCGAGATGGATGGGTTTTGATTCTCTCCCTCGCTCTGTCCAGGGGCCACCATGACCGCTCTGATCCTCACCGCCTGCATCATCTGGTGCGTCTGCTCCATCAAGTCCAACCGGCACAAGGACGGCTTCCACCGCCTCCGGCAGCACCAGGACGATTACGAAGACGAGATCCGCATGATGTCCACCGGCTCCAAGAAGTCCCTGCTCAGCCACGAGTTCCAGGACGAAACGGACACAGAGGAGGAAACACTGTATTCCAGCAAACACTGACCCGCCCAGGGAGCAGGGGGGCTTCCCCTGCAGAGACAGATCTCGTGGCACTCAGTGGTTTCCTCCTGCGAGCGAACCCAGAACCCGGGACCTCCTCCACATCTGTAGATCCAGAGCCCCTTTCAACAAAGCTGGTGTGGGCCGCCAGGCTTCTTTCCGGCTGCCCGAGTGAGGAGCGCCACCAGAGCAGCATCTCTCAGACTTTGGCAAAGTTTCTTTAAGCCTTTCTGACCGTCGCGGGTCACTCCATGCAGCGCCTGGAGGAAAATAACACTGTCACTGCCACGTTTAGTTTAACACTACCCCCCCGCCCGGCTGCTCCTGCAGCAGCACAGGCAAATTCCTGAAATTTGGGGCACAACTTCAGTGGTCGGTCGCAGGAGCATGAAAACAAATAGCGGCCTTGCTCTCTGGGTGGAGGTTGGGCTCCTCTTCCTCCTTGTGGCCTCCACTTAGGCCGTATGGGCAGAAGCCAGCCACACCACTTCTCTGTGTGATCAGCAGAGAAGAGGAGAAGACGGTTGTGCCGAGCGGGAAGCATCTCCTTTTTCTCCAGCTGAGGCTCGTTGGGGGTGGGGTGGGGGGAATAAAAACGGATTTTCTTTTCACTCATCCTCCTTTAACCCCCATCCCACCCCTTTTCTGCCTGAGAATGTAGGACAGCAAGAGACCCAGTCCTGTCTTTAGAAAGAATAAACTCTGATCAGCCTAGGATAGCTGGTCTGTTGGATTTCCAGCCTGGTGCCAAAGGCTCCTCTCGCAGCTCAGCTTTGAATTCACTGAGCATCGCCTACCCACCAGCCTCATTATGATGCCGTTGTCCAGGGGAAAAAATATTTTAAATATTTTCCTCTTTTGAAAGTTCATCAGACTGCTCTTTCAGGAAAACTCCTTGCTCTGTCCTTTCTTTCCAGGGCAGTGTCTATTACAGCCGATCTCTGCTTTTCTCCTGAGTTTGGGCTTCTCATGGCCTTCTGCTGCTGCTGCTGCTGCTGCTGTGCGCTCCCTTTTCTTTACAGTCTCTTCCCCCATGTACTGAATCCAAACCATACAGGGGACTTGGTTTCCAGGCGAAGGAAGCAGTGCAGAGGTTCCTGTTCCTCCCATTCCACAGGGCCAAGAAACCGGTGGCTCTCCAGATGATGCTGGAGCCCAGTTTCCTTCGGGCCCCATTTAACTTGGCCATTGCCAGGGGTGATGGGAGGGATACCTCTCCAGGGTCTGGAGGGCGCCAGGACCCATGCGCCTGCATTACGAAGGTAACAGTGTGTCTCCTTGCCTGTTCTACATGCCGTGGAAAGAAGCTGTCACACAGCTGCTGCATGGATGCGCCGGTGAGGCCAGAAACCTGCGCTAAAGAGTCCCTCCCTCTTTTTTGTACATGTTGCATACATGGTTTGGTTTGTGATTTCCACTGTGTCTTAAAACCTTTTTTCGCTTTCTTAAGGAGACTTCCAGGGACGAACACGTAGTCAGAGACATGCTTTCTGGAGGTCAGACAGTGGAGAGGATGGGTTCTGAGGAAGGAGCAGGAGACGCCGCAGAGCGGGCGCCAGGTCAGAAAGGGGCAGGAAGACAGGGACTCTCCTGGCTGCTCTTCATGCTCGTTCACCCCCACATCACAACTTTCTCCCCCACCGCTTCCAAACTGTTTTGGGTCCTGGGGTTTTCATGCTCGTTCACCCCCACATCGCAACTTTCTCCCCCACTGTTTCCGAACTGTTTTGGGTCCTGGGGTCATCGTCCCCCCCCCCCCGTGGGAGGAAATGGGCCCACAGAGGAGCTCCACGGACAGAATTGAGTCGATGCTTTCTTTAAAAAATGTGCCAAAGCCAGTCAAATGTCTGTCATACAGATTTTGCTGGCAGACGTTTTGCTCCTTTGGATTTGGGACCTCCATTTGCCGAAACGTGTCCAGCTGCCCAAGGAGATGTATGGCAGTATTTTCTTCCATACCACTGGGCCTCTCTCTCTCTGAGAAATGGCGCTCTCCCCCTCCCCCCAGCCACGAAAGGTGACTTTTCAAAGGTAACTGGCTGACAACTTCTGCGGAAGCAACTCATTGGCGTGCCCTGGTTGTCAAACGAGTGGCTTGTTACTTTACTTGTTGCTAATGAGTTTAGAAACCATCCGAAAGATAGAAAGAAAGGGTCCAAGTGTTTTATGGGTAGCAAGTAAATGTTTTTGAAGTTACAAGGAAAGATGGCTTATTCCCCCCCCCCAGTAATAATTTGATGACACTGGTAACATCTTTGCCTCAAAAGTAAAATGTTGCAGGTAAATGTTCCGACTTGCCACCTTAAAACTTCTCTGTGATGGAAGTACCATGACCTGCTGAAACAGCTTCTTTAACTGCTCTCTTGTGTCCCAATTTAATATTGTCCCAATTGTTTAGGCCTCTGTTCTGCAATGTGAAAGCCTTGCTTTAAAGTTGGGCTTTACGGTTGTAGGCTTTTACCTCCAGTAAACTTGTGGAGGAGTCGCCCTGTTTTAGCCATTAAGATGTGACCCAAAGGTGCCCAGGGCCTGCCGCCCGAGACACACTGTAGAGGTTAAGCCTCTCTGGAGAACTTAACATTTCCCAAAACCTCTGTGTGTGGGGGGGGGGGGGCATCAGGGCTGGAAATGCCCCACACCTAGGAAAATCCAAATCCAAATGGGAGCAGCTCTGGTATCCCCTTCCATCAGGCAGGCAATGCGCAAGCAAGTGCCTGGACCCCCAAACATCTAACGTTATCCCATTCCATCATCCATCCCTGACATCTGTTGTAAAGTTCTGGAACACTTTCCCAGTAATGCTTTTAGGAAGGAAGAAACTTATTAAGCACGAGCCTGGAAAATCTTCCTTGAGAGTAATTTTAAAAAAGAAAGACTTACAGAGTACTAATTCCAGATGCCCCTTGCTGGGTTTCCCTAATATATAATCAGTCTCTTTCCCCTTCCTTCATCTCTCTCTTGAATTTCCCTGAAAAGTGTATTTTTTTTTTTTTTAAAAAAACCCACTCTTTTTAAAAAATCTGTTGGCAATACTGTGTGCGGATGTAGTGCTAGTTCTTTGATTTCCCTTCCGGACTTGTTTAAAAAACAGTGACAACCGGTGTGGAAATGTTCCTTTTTAAAATATACGGCAGCGTCCGGAATCCCCAAGCCAGCAGCCGTGGTTGGCAGGCTTCTCTCCCCTGACCCAAGGACCACCAACAGGCGTTTTTTACTTGGGAGAATCGCCAGCAGTGGCATATTTCTGACTGCAACGATGCAAAAAGGGTTCCCCCTCCCCGCCCCGGTTCTTTTGGGATGAGGAGTGTGTGTGTGGAATTGCCGAATTGGGCAACAGCTCCTGCTCTTTCTCGGCCATGTGGGCACGCCTGGGACTGCTGGCGTCGGCCTCCCTGGCCCAACAGAGTTGTGTGCCGCGGCCTGTCTCTGCTTGGGGTGGGGGGGGCTGTGTTTCTTTTGTCTGCCCGTGCCTTCCGAAGCAAGTATTGGGAACGAGGCACTTAGGGATATGCAAGGAGGGCCCCCCCCGGGTGTAATGGCTCCCAGGTCCTCTGCGGGTGGGTCTGTGGGTTTTTTTAACCTGTACACTGAGCTCTAATCTGTATAAAACTTATTTTAAGAGGTCTTTTTCCTTGTGTCGTCCTTGCTTCCTGGGTGACCATTGTGCCCGCTCTTTGAGGCCACGCGGTCTCCTGACGAAGGCTCTCGTTTCTCCCTCCCCCTCCCATCCCCCAGCATGGTCCGTTTGGGGAAGGAGGCCTTCCAGACATGCTGAAGGGAGACTTCAAGACAGGGATGCCAGCTGCAAAAAAGATATATAACTTGGGAGAGGCTTTTCGCACCCGGGTCTCTGGATGTTGTGGGTTTTCAACTCCTAGAATCCCTCGCCAGTGTGGCCAGTCGTTGGGGATTCTGGGCCCTGTAGTCCAGAGGTGGATCTGAGGCCCGTGGCTCTGGAATTTCATTCCACCTTGCGACAGGACGGGGAAAGAGTGAAGAAAGAATCTCCCTCTGAGAAAAAGCGGGAGAGGGCTTTAAAAGAGACGCCTGCCTCTCAGCCCTTTTCTTTACCCCACCTTAATTTTTCTAAAAAAAGCCGTTTCTCCCCCTCCCTCTCTCTGGGCAATTGAATGAGGGAGAGCTGGGGGGGGGAGACCCCCCACACACACACCAGCCCCTGGAGATTGCCCTGGCCTGGTTCTGGTCTTACGAGTCAGGCCGGGCCGGCGGTGTTCCTTCCGGTCTGCGGTTCTTCTTCCCCTTTGCCCTTGGATGCCCACTCCCGCGGGGCCCATCCTGAAGCCCAGCCTGTTTTATCCTTTCACCAGAACTGCGCCGCGCTCTGGATCCTCTCCGGATGAGGCCCGCCTCCGCCATGACAGCCACCCAAAGGGACGCTGCTGCCCAGCCCGTGGCCTTTGGGACCACCTGCCGGTGGGTGAGGTAGGGCAACCGTGGCCCCTTGGGGCTCCCTAGTTCTGCCTTGAGAGCCAGAGGTGGGGAAGTTTGATTCCTCCCATGGGCCTCCTTGATGGGGCAGGGGGGCTGGGCTCGATGGCTCTCTCTCCCCCCCTCCGCCCTTCAAAGGTGATGATGACCCTCGTGCTCAGCATCCAAGACCAAAAGCTGCAGAGATGGTTTCTGCGACCTGACCTTTCGGGGCAAACCTGCCACTTTATGGACTGAGGAAGGAGTTAACTCGAAAGCAGAGGAGGAGATGGGTTAATAAACAAGCAAGCAAACCAACCAACCAACCTGAATGGGGGGAGACGGGACTCGAGGATGGGCCCCCACCGCTCTGAGCCGGGCCCTTCCAAGGCCCCCCGGGAGGGGGGGAAAGGGGCGGCCATGGAGAGGGAGGGGGCGCCTTCTGAGGAGGGCCTCCCAAAACGTGGGTTTTTATGAACGGCTGGCCGAGCGAAGGCAAGGAAAGTGACTTTTAAAAGTAGGGCTGCCCTTCTTTCGTGCCCGGCTGGCTGAGAGGGTCTGGAGGGGGGTAGGGGTCCTCCCCCCCACTGCAGAGAGAACGGCCTTTGAGCTTTAAAAACAAAACCCAAACAGGACTTGTGCAAACTGCAAAGCCCCTCTTCCAGGAGGAGGCCGTGGGGCCGCCAGGGGCGCTGCCGAGGCAGGCGGCGCTCTGGGATCCCGGCGGGGCGTCTGCGGCGCATCTCTCCCCGCGCTCTCTATGGTCGGAAGTGGCGGGCGGGACCGCCGGCGACGCTCTGGCCCGCGCCCTCTCGGTGGCCCTGCGCGAGGGCCGCTGCCGGCATTAGGCCGAGGGAGGGCTGACGTTGGACAACAAAGATGGCGGCGGGAGCGGCGGTGGGAGGAGGCGGCGGCGGCGGCGGGGGGGGCAGCGGCAGCAGCAGCAGCAATTACTGGGAGGGTGAGTGGGCGAGGGAGGGAGGAAGGGGGACGAGGCCCCCCTCCGTGCGGGAGGGGGGAAGGAGGAGGAGGAGAAGAAGGGCCCTCCCGCTGGCTTCGAGGGGGGGCGTCAAGTGGGAGGAGGTTCCGCAGGCTCCTCTGAGGGGAGGGGGCTTAAAGAGAGAGGAGCCACCCTCCGGGAGGGAGGGAGGGACAGGGA